TATAGACTTGGTATTTTGACATCACAAACATCAAATTGAACCAGTGCTGCATTGAACATACCAAGTGACACACAAAAATCAATGTTTAACTATTGTTTTACTTTTAAAATTAAGAAATTGAATAATGTATAATACTAATATTTGAATTATAGTTTACAGTTTGATACCAAACATACTAACATAAATTCATGAAAAAGTATTTCAATAAGATTTTGAATACAAGTCAACAAACGTGATGGCATGGCCTTTGATCCATGACCCATGTGGAGAAGGTTAATGCCCATCGTTTAAAAATTGTAATGGTAAAAGTATAAACTGTATGTGGCTTTGATCGATTATTAAAAAAAAAATTTCAAATGATATTACTAGCATTGAAAAAATAGTTCTGTTGTATTATTTAGGGATGTGTCATGAAGAGTTGTTTTGAAAAGTTAAATGTTTTTATGAGTAACAGAAAATTATGTTTTCCACAGCTTCCAGCAGTCGCAGAGTTTTCTACTAATGAAACAATGGGTGAATCTGGGGACCGGTTAGCCGCATCTTTTGGTATATCTCGTCGAGAGCAGGATGAGTTTGCCCTCAGATCTCACACACTGGCTGACAAGGCAACGAAGGGAGGGTCTACTGGAGGATTTGACTCCACTTACTGTGCCAGGTAACACTTGTATTATAATCGTTTAGCTTTGCGATATTGAAAGTTAAAACATACATTTAGGATTATAGTAACAGCTCTGGCCTGAACTGACTAGCAAAAATCACTCTTGTTGAACTGAGTTTCTTACAATAGCTGTAAAAGTAAGAGAGACCTCAGTTCTGAACGTTGGACCAAAAATTGGCCTAGATGACAAAAAGGTTGATATACAAGATAATATTCTTTAAAACAATTTCTCATTGTCATGGTTAGTCATATACAATTACCATGCTTAACTCTATGACTACTAGCACACTCTTTATATTCATTTCTGTGTATATCACAAAGTGTTACTGAATTAAATTCAGAATTTAATTAAAGCACTTTACTATCAATGTAGTTTAATGAAATTAACATTATCAAGTATGTTGTAATTCAAAGTTTTATTTCTTATTTCAAAAGAAACCTCTGAAACAAAAACAATTAAAACTTCAGTTTTCTTGTCATGTGATATTCTAGTGGTTAAAAATGTTGTAGCTCTACTTTCTTTCATTTCAACTCTCTTCTGCCTTATTACAGATGGTCAAAGTACACACATATACTGTATGTTTACCACTAACTAGGTTGAATTCTAAGAACTTTGTTCCAAGGATGGTGTTGTAAAAGTTCTCCCCCATCAGCAGGACCCAAGCCTACACAAAATTGGAAAATTAGATTTGAATGTCCTGCTTATAACCAATACAAAGAGTAGATTTCAAAATATATTTCTCCTATGTTTTCTATGATCTCATTGACCTTGACTATTGAAGGTGTACAGTTGCTAATTGCATTCTTGGAGATGTTATCCCTAGGACTTCACTACTTTTTTTTTGCCTTATACATACCAGCTTGATATACAGTTAAATTGCATTTAGGTTTACTTTTATACTTTAGTTAATTATGTATTATTTGTGTTTTAAAATTTATGCTTAAAAGTTTTGATGATTTTTTTAACTTTATTCTATGCTTTTGCTCGTTCAGCATGCATTTTATATATTAAGCAAGTGCAAACAATTTTGCTGCAGGCTGAACAGTTTTTGACAAAGATAATGTGGGGCACACATTGATATATGTGGACATAAATAATCAATGATGAAGAATAGGAATATAAAATAAAACGTTGAAAATAAACTAAGTGAAAAGTTAAAGATGTGAAATTACACATATGACCCAAAGAAGATGTTTTTGTTTCTTAAGTTTAAACATTTCATTGCACTGAATGTTGATGGTAATTGCTAGAGTTAACGATTTAGTAGAGAAAATGGAAAATAAAATATAAACATTTACCTTAAAAACTTCTGATATTCATTTAGGGAGTTCTAGAGATTATGCAAATGAAATGTGAAAAGTGTACGATAATAAATAGTATATTTATACTTAACATGAAAAATCACCTTGTGGGTGAAGTATTCAGAGTCTGAGAGCAAATAACTACAATAAATAATGAATTTTTATTCAAAACAGTAGAAGAAAGGAAAACTAGATGTTTTATTTTTTTGAAACTACATATTTTCAAGAAAGTTCTTGTCAAATTTCAAACAATTTCATTAACTAGATTTATTTTTGGTACAAAATATTATGAGAGCGACATTACCTATGGGCAATGCTTGTAGTCGGTAGTCATCGGGTTAATTATTGATCAGTTTAATTTTATTATTATTGCTACTTCCAAATACTACTTACATGATGCAATTCACAATACAAGAAAGTAAACTCCAATTCCTAGACATTATGGATTAATACCGAGACACATGGCCGATGTTTCATAGAAGTTTACAGGAAACCACGGATACCCTGATTATAAATCAAACACCTTGACAGTGTAAAGATAGTCATCATAGACTGCCTATTGTCTGGATTGAACAACGGTTTGTGAGGGGTCAAGATGTTTCATAGGTATGTGGTCTATAATAGCAGATGGATTTGTAAGGTGTTACCTGATTGGTCACTTGTAGAAATTCTGAAAGAATTCCAGTTAAACAAAAGAATGGAAAAAATATTATGCATCCTTTACATTATGTTTGTAAATTTTGGAAATCATTTTAGAGCCAAGTAACCATGGATATTTGTGTGTACTATTTTCAGCATGTTATCAATGATGATTCTCCTCTGCTTAGATGAAGTTACATTTTAGCTTGTGTTACATGGAAAATTAGATGAGTAAATGGGGTAAGAAACAAAATATCAACTCTTTTCATTACAGGCTCAGTCCCTGGGAACAACCTTGTAACTATTTTGTGCTTGTTATAATTTTCATGCTATAACTAAAATTAGTAAGCATATGTTAATGAAATTTGGCAGACTATCAGTAAACATTACAATGCTTTCATACATAAAATTTCAGATTTTTTTATTAAGTCTTAAGGTTTGTTAAGCAATGTTTTTCTCATGCCTTTTTTTTCTTTTCGCATGTTGCCTATCCAACATGCAAAGTAATTTTCATTTTAAGGTTAAAAATATCTTTAAGTATCATAAAATTTTACATGCAAAGTCTTTATAATGTCCAGATAGTTATCAAACATTTCTTAAGAAAACACTTTATGTTTTATCTGATATTTTCAGTAATGATTATTGTAACCATAAAAATTAGGAAATATATATACATCAATTATGCCTCTTTCATTCTAGAATGACAACAGATTATAACATGAAAACATAAAGATTTAGACTAACTAGCTTAAATCTCATAACATTATACATTTATATATATTTATTATTTTTATTATATTGACATTTCAACCGTGCCTGGCTAAAACACAGAAGTCACAATGACAGCACATGTGCTCTCATTTTATCATATCCAATATAAAACTGACCTTTAGTCTTTACAATGTGACTTGTCTTGGCTGTGTTTTATTAGACTACTATATTGTAAAATACAGTCACATTTCAATTATTATACATAATATATGTACATAGATTATTACTATTTAGAAATAAGTTCTTAAACTTATTTTTTCTTAAAATGTAGAACAGTAAATAAAGAAGTAAA